ACCTTGTTGTCTCGGATTCTCCAGCATCTGCAGTTCCTACTATCTCTAATATTTTGGGGACATGGGTCTGAGAAACTGCCATCCTTACTGTGTCTGGCCTACATATGACTCCAGATCTACAGCAATGGGCAATATGGGTCTCCAGGGAGAGATGGTGTCTTCATTCAAATATGCTGGGTGTAAGAGACCAGCAGTTTGTACTGTTGATAGTGGAAAACTTCAGCAATTAATTCTAGCTGACTTCCCTGCAAATATTATCAAGGACCCCTGTTCAGTCTCCACAAATGGCTCATCAGAAGCCTCTATTGATGGGGTTCAATATTGGGGTCCCTTGTTATTGATTTGAATATGGATGGGATCGCCAGGTACAAAGAAACCATCAGACAGAAAGTTGTAAACAGCAGATATAACACAGTGTGGAGCTGGAGGAGCACAGCAGGCCAAGGAGGTGGAAATGAGAGGGAGGGTTGGTCATGGGATGAGGTTGGGGGGTGGGGAGATTTTGAAACTGGTAAAGTCCACATTGAGACCATTGGGTTGTAGGGTTCTAAGGCGGAATACGAGGTGCTGTTCCTCCAGTTTGCGGGTGGTGTCATTGTGACACTGGAAGAGGCCCAGGATGGACATGTCACCCACAGAGTGGGAGGGGGAGTTGAAATGGTTCGCAACTGGAAGGTGTTGTTGTTTGTCGCGAACAGAGTGCAGATGCTCTACGAAACGCTCTCCCTGCCTCCTTGACCTGACACAACCTGTCCATTTTCTCTCTCACCTATCTGCTCCTCCCACCAAATTGACCAATCCCCACCACTCCCTACCTACACTCACCTATCACCATACCACCGACCTTCCCCAGCCCCACCCCTCCTCTCTCTATTTATCTCTGAGCTCCTTTCCCCCTCCCCCATTTCTGAAGAAGGCTCCCGACCCGAAATGTCAACTTTCCTACTCCTCTGATGCTGCCTGGCCTGCAGTGTTCCTCCAGCTCCACGCTGTGTTATCTCTGACTCCAGCATTGGCAGTTCTTACCATCTCTTTGTAAACAGCAGACAGTATGAGTGCTGTTTCGGAAAAGAGGTTTTTAACCTTACTGAGTTGGTGTGGGCAATTCCAGCTGTTACAGGAACATTGCTGAAAATGCTCACCTGTCAGCTCTGCATCTTCAATATAATGAGGTAAAGCTGGAGTACAATGCCACTAATGCAGAGTTAGCACTGACACAGAAGAGGTAGGTGTGAGACCCTCCAGCATAGTGAGAGAAAATGCCTCAAGTTGACACAAGTCCCTGTTCCCCAATCAGGTTAAAAGGGTCCCCAATGAAAATTGGAGTGAATTTGCAAGGAGAGCACACCTTACATTCTTTGCTAAAACAAAATGTAGTTTGGAAACATCAAAGATTCAAAATGGATTTGAGAAAGAGATCAAAAATTCAGACCAGAGTTTGGAAATGGTGTTAACTTGGGTCCAGAACCAAAACGTCAGCTTTCCTGCTCCTCTGATGCTGCGTGGCCTGCTGTGTTCCTCCAGCTCCACACCTTGGTATCTCAGACTCCAACATCGGCAGTTCCTACTCTCTCTTAGCTCTACTGTGTTCTTCTGTGAAAAGGTTGATCTCACAGCATACAGACAAATAGAAGTTTGACAGACATCCAAGTTGATCACGCGTGCTAGAGTTTCCAAGAGATGAAATTGTTAACAAAAGATATGAGAAAAAAGAACCTAAAGCAAAGGATGACATGATCTCGCATGGTGACTTGCGCCTGACCCCTTCTCAGACCTTACCACACACCTGTGATGTGTGATTTTCAACTGGAATAAATTTTGGTCATTTTTAAATTTACAGATATGTGTGGACATTAACATCCTGCTGGACTTTTACTTTCACAGTGGATTTTACTTTTGTGTTTTTAAACAGGTCTAAAGAGCCACCTTAACACAATGAGTGACTCAAGAGTTTTATAGGCCCTTCCTGCAAAGATCACCTGAAAGTCAGGATTGCATGATAAAAACCAAAAGAACTGCGGATGCTGTAAATCAGGAACAAAAACAAAGTTGCTGGAAAAGCTCAGCAGGTCTGGCAGCATCTGTGAAGGAAAAGACAGAGTTAACTTTTCGGATACGATGACCCTTCTACAGTCCTGAGGAAGGGTCACCGGACCTGAAACGTTAACTCTGTTTTTCCCTTCACAGGTGCTGCCAGACCTGCTGAGCTTTTCCAGCAACTTTGTTTTTGTTCAAGATTGTGTGAATGACCTTGGGCTACTGATGTAAGCACACAGCAGTGATAGCTGGATCTGAAGTAACTAACATGAAAGAATGCATGGTAAAAAGGCATTGAAGAATGGTTTTCAGACATGTACATTTACTTGACAAAATGGTTATTGTGGTCTGGACGAGCAAGAAAACATTTTTAAATGATGAAGCACAGACACATAAGCCATAGAGGAGCCGACTTTAAAATAATCAAAGTGGTATTGGTGAGAGGAGTAACAGTTAAAGTAGGATATGCTTCCAGTTGGGACAACCGAAGGCTAAGGGGGGAAAGTTTTTCATAAGAAAAATCCACAAGCTGGGTACAGTGAAGGGACAGCTGGAGAATCTTTTTAAGTCTATGCATAATCTGTTGCTGTAATTGAATGGCTTACAACCAGCTAAAGATGAGCCATAATCATCAAAGGGTGCAAGTATAACTTTAATGCAAGATCGAGAAGAAGAGAGGAAGAAATCTAATAATGTGACATAAGAAAAACAAAACCCAGAAGCAAGGAGACCAAAGGGGAAGATATTTGCCCAATTTATAAAGCTACTTTCTGCTTCCAATTTACTCAGTCGACTATGATAGAAAGTTCCATCCATAACATCACAGTGCTGAGAGGCTGAGGATAAATATCTCCATGTTTAGATTTTCGACGTATTTGAACTGAGTTTCATACTAAGCTGTTGAGTGTTTTTAATGCATGATGAATTTGAATGCATTGCCTGTTACACCAATGACTAGAAATTAATTTTAGTGACAATATGAACAAAAGATTGTTACTTGCAGTTCTCAGAAACAGTAGCAGTGGATAATCCCATAGTGTCCATACTACAGCAAAATGGCAGCTTGGTTCACTGCTCACTTAACTTTACCTTTAGCAAGGTCAATACTTCATATTTAATGTTGTTACCAGCAATGTTTAATCAAAAACCTTAAAGAAAAAATAATATAAAACAAAACATGAATATCTTCTGGTTAATCACAATCACTTAGTGCTCTTGAATATCTAAAACAAAAAAAAAATCTTATTTGATTATGTTAAAATACTTAGGTTTTGTACATACCTCAGTACCTCTTGTAGATGTCTGAGCTGAAGACAACAGAAGTGCAGCTGACAAAAAGGGTACTAAGCCAATTTCAAGGCCAATAAGATAAAGTAACATTGTCTTCATTTTAGCTTTTTACTATGTGGGGAATGGTACCAGTTAGCTCAGTTGGATAGAAGGCTAGCGTGTGGTTCTGAAGAACACCAATAGTGCAGGCTAAATTTCTGGTACACTGGCAAATCTGCTTCTTTGCTCTGTCCCTAAGAGCAGAATCAGATGATAAACTACCACAGACAAAATCAACAAAGGAAACATCAGCTGAATATGCGTCAAGGGCCTGCCTTCGGTCACAGTATACAGACAATTCCACACTGTGTGGTAAACAGCCTGAAGATGGATGGGAGTGTTCAATGCATACCTTCATATAAAGCTGTAGTATTAACAAACACAATGACTCAGATCAAAAATTCATACCTCACAGTAATTATTGCTGGGACATTACAAGCTTTTTTTAATGCAGTGATTGTGTTGTTCCTTAATATGACATCAACAAGTTGTAGCCCAGGTTAATCCCTAAATCCATATGCAGTGGGTGGGCATAAATTCTCACCCCCACCAGGAACTTTCAGGGTGAAAGGTTATACCTAAAGGCCACCCAGACACCTCTTCACTCACTGCCATCCAGTACCAGCAGAGAAGCCTGTGTTTGCTGGCCTCACTGCCACTCGAGATGTCATTGAGCAGGAGCAAGTTAACCCCAAGGTTTGGCAAAGCCTCACTAGGGTTCATGCTCTTAGGTGACTGGGAAAGAAGGGAGGGAGACCAAGGCAGCCTGGCCTCCCATCACAGGTCAGCACCCGTGACCAGCACTAGGGAGAGGTACAACGCTGCCCGTACCTCCACATGGGTCACTTTCCCAGAATAGAGGTCTCCTGAAAAAGAGATTCAGATGGCTGGACCGGCCACTTGGTGTAATACAGCATAGCCAGCCAAAGTGTCCTATATCTTAGTGCTTTGATGTACATCCCATGATCTCCCTTGACAAAATGAAAATAGTTTATAATGTTCTGAGGATGACAGGTGTCATCAACCAGGAGGCTGCCCTTTTCAATAACCAACCATGCACATTCCTGCATTATTTGCCTGGTGTGGTCACAGACAATGTGTACATTAATGGAGGGGAGTCCTTTCCTGTTCATAAACACTGCTGGCTGCTATTTGGTGTTCTGATTGCTATGTGGATACAGTTGATTATACTTGCGCCTTTCCAAATCCTACAATGGCCGGAAAGTTTCCAAATGGTTTTGACAAGGTGGAAAGGGCATTTCTTCTTGAGGATGCAGACCTACGTGGAACAGCTTTAACATCAGGGTTCACCCTTTTAAGCTAGAGATAAGGTTTTTTTTTCTTTATGAGAGGGTTGTGTGACTTTGGAAAGATCTGCCTCAGAAGAACCATATTTATTGACAAGTGGTGGCAGTGGAAAGAGGGTATTCAAATCATTAAGATTCAAGGCAACAGATTTTTGGAATCAAAGGTTATTGGGAGCAAACAGAAATGTAGAATTCAAGTAGAAACAGCTCAGCTATGATTTTATTGAATGGTTCTCAGGGCTGAATTATCTAGTTCTGCTCCTAATTTTTATGTTCCTCATCACTGAAGTTTATCTCAATACCAAGTTTTCTTTTTGCCTCTCAGCCAATTAAATGAACCTTCTGCCATTGTACTTACTTCCTCTGGGATTGAAAAATCCTAGCCTGTTGGAATTTGGCCAGGTTATGTAATGTTTGTTCCGAGTGTCTGATTTTAGTTTAACAGCTACATTAACAGTTGACTAACAGTGATGTGAAAACAGCAATTAACATTCTTTCTGTGTGAATGAATAACCATTATGAAGCTTACAAACCTGGAAATATAAGCCACATTTAAAATAAAATTAAATCGGTTTAAAAGATTAGGGAGATTAGAGGATTAATATTTTAAGCCTTATTAGCACAAAGTAATAGCTAACGTTATAGAAGGAAGGTCAATGACCTTCTCTCCTCCTCCACTATTTGCCTTACTCTTCTTTCTACCACCTCACACTCAATCTAGCAGTGCCACTGAACACACCTCCTGCCAAGGCTCATGCCCCACCACCCTCACTGTTGCCTACAATACATTCAGCCACTTGCTCATCCTGTCAGCCTCTCACACTACTATTCCTTATGTGCCCTCTGTGCTGCTTCCTCAGTCCCATGGTAACCCCCCCCCAGATGTACCAGCATTAACAGATGTGCCACTCACTGTCACCTCCCTTTTCCTTATCACACAACATGGTGAGTAGAGCCCTTATGCGCTGGGTGATTCTGACAATATCCCAGCAAAGTTTGCAGGGAAGAGTCTGGCTATGGCAGAGCCACCATCCTGATCCTCTAAGCTCGAGAATACAGAGGTCTCAAAGGAGGAGATTGTCAAGGCTTCCTCTTACAGCCCTCACCCCCAGATAATGACACCTCTGTTGGAAATGGAGATGTTGAGAGTGTTGAGCATCTCACTGAAAGTAGCTGTCTGAGGATGAAATGCCCCAAGTCACTGGCACTTAGACAACTGCCAGAGACCAGACACCAGCTCAGCCTTGAGCAGGAGTTGACTGGCAGGTGTTGCCAGTCTGGGACAGTATCCGCATGCCCAGCAGCAGCAGCACCAGACTGGAATACAGGGCAAAATGTTGCCCAGAAGTTGCGTCAATGCAGTGAGTCATGCAGCGATCTGTCTGTCTCCAAGGGCAGGGTGCTGGCTGTCCTGGAGAAACAGCATCAACCCCCTCAGGGGGAAACACATGCACATCTGCACTCCATTGCCACTGTCATCAGTCCCTGGGATCAAAGGGACAGGGTGACAGGGAATAGGCCCCTCAGTAATTTTCATCCAGATACTGAGCGGTGGCCAGGCCCTCCACCTCCACCCTGTTATAAAGGGGAAGTCAAACTCCTCTGATAATTAAACCAAAACACAAGCCCCAATCTGTTACAATGGGAGTAGAGGTTTCCTTCTAATAATTACCCCCAAAACACCCAGAGAAGCTCGCCTTTCCCCCTGTAATCTGTTAAAAGAGCGGTTAAAAGAAAGAAAATCCCTGATCCATTCTATAAATAAAAAGTAATAATTTATTTACTTACCTTAACAATTAACAAATTAACAGAATTACTAACAAACCAAACAATTCCCCCGAGTACTAACTATTCCCTATATGAAGTAAATTCTGCTGAAATGCTATTCAAATAAACACAAGTCCCACTTTTATAAACTCAATTAATAAGATAACAATAAATTAAAACTAAATCTCTCCAAGTTATCACAGAATGTGTCTTCTGGAAAGTTTTGTCTTCTCCATGGATCATCTGTCAGGAATGTCTTCTCTTTCTGCTGTTCTCTCTGTAATTTCTTCTGTGAGGACTTTGAACTAAAAGTGCAGTGGTACCTTTGATGGGGCTTTTTAGAGATTAATGATTTTGTGTGAAAGCCAAATTTATGTCTCAGACGGTGGATTTACTTTTGCATCAGATGGCAGTTGGCTCTCTGCCAATTTTCCAAATGCTGTCTTTTTTTTATAACCTTGATGACCTGTTTATTTCTTACTGTAGGATTGGCCCCAGGCTCTCAACACCAGCAGATTTAAATTCAGAGATAGTAGGAACTGCCAATGCTGGAGAATCTGAGATAACAAGGTGTAGAGCTGGATGAACGCAGCAGGCCAAGCAGCATCAGAGGAGCAGGAAAGCTGACGTTTCGGGTCTAGACCCTTCTTCAGAAATTTAAATTAAATTGGCTTTCGGTATCTGGGGCCTGGTTTGAATTAATTGGCTAAATTCAAAAACCTGTTGTCTTGGTAAAAATGCTACTTTGCCTACTAACATTATAACCCTTCAATACACATGTTTCAATTCACGAACTCTCTGTTCTGCTGCTTGCAAACATTTTCTGTTTAAATCCCTCCAAACTTAGAAAAGCACTCTCTCGATTAAAGGGACCATGCAATTTTCCCCTTTATTATTTTTACAAACACATTCTACTTCAAGCCTTCCAATTAATGAGTATTCTACACAACTTTGTAACAACCCTGTCTCACCCCTCTGACCTTGGGAAGGAGGGTCATCCTGCATCTGTCACGTAGATCCTCAGTATGTCTGGCCCATCCAGACACAAATGCCCTTGGGGTCAGTTCACTAAATCTCCAGTCTCCAATGGGTTCCTCATCAGAGCAGGTTGTCTCCAATCCTGCTCCATGTTCAAATCCAGCTGCAGAACCAAGGAAAGCTCTGAGACACAGTGGGAGGGAGAGAAAGAAGAAAGCACTTCCAAGGCATTTTGAAGTTATGGATAAAGAAGACTTTCTTGTAAATAGAATTGTGAACATAAACAGTGATGACATTAACTTTCATACATCTGCTTTCGAGTCTCTATGTAGAGGCACACAATGTATTTTCACGGGCAGCAGTCCTGGCCACACAGGAGGTCTCACAGATTGAGGTTTGTACTGACAGCCTCCTGCACCATTTACAAATAGGGGAGGCAGTACATACTTACAAATGGCATTGGTTGCCGCTGCCACCTTTGAGCTTCCTGGTTCAACGTCCCCTAATGCTAGGCTCCCTACATCTACCAATGTGTAGGGCTGCCAAAGAGTGGCAGTGCTGGCAATGTGCCATGTACAGAGAGGGCCAATATCATGTTTAATTTTAATCAATGGTCCAAGTCCATAGCTCCCTGAAAGTGGCAACACAAGTGGATCAGGTCGGTAAGAAAGCATCCAGCATTCTTGCTTTCATCAATCAAGGCATTGAGTATAAAAGTTGGCAAGTCATCTTGGAGCTGTATAAGACTTTAGTTCAGACAGATTTGGAGTATTGTGCACGTGCCTGGTTGCCACCCTATAGGAAGGATGTGTAGGTTTTGGGAGGGTGCAGAAAGGTTATCCAGGATGTTGTCTGGATTGGCATGTATTAGCTGTAAGGAGAGGTTGAGCAAACTTGGATTATTTTCACTGGAGTGTCGGAGGCTGAGGGGTGACCTGATAGAAGTGTGCAAATTATAAAAGGCATGGATAGGATGGACAGTCAGAGCCTTTCTATCCTGAGTGGAGATATCGAATACCAGGGGACATAGGTTTAAGGTGAGAGGGGGAAAGTTTAAAGGAGATATGTCAGGCAAATTTTTGACACAGAGGGCGGTAGGTGCCTGGAATGCATTGCCAGGGGAGGTGGTAGAAGCAGATACAATAGCTTTACAAGGCATTGCCAGTGAATAGAGGGATACGGACCCATGTGCAGATAAGATGGGATTTGTTAAGAATGGTATCCTAGTCAGCACAGACATGCC